ACAGCTGTAGCCAATAAAAGTGCAGGCATCATCAGAAAGTAAAGGCTCGGTGCCATCTAACTACAAGCTATATTTTTGTTAAGGCTAACTTTGCGAACCACCTCTCAGCTGCTAGACCGAATGAAATTACTAAGGAAGATGCTGATAGTAGTAATACGTCATATTGTATTACTAATACCACAACTGCATGCACTAAAAGTACAAGAACCGAGGGTGCTAATACAATGGAAGTGCAACAGACATGAATGCTCATCATAATGATGAAGTAATAGTTAGAAGCCAGGAATGGGAGACAGTTATGAGGCTCATGATATTTTACAAGGCTAAGAAGATCATGTCTTTTCGCGACATGGTAAAAATATTAAATAACTGTCAAGTCATCTATTTTTTCTTAGAATAGCCTCCCTAAGTATGAAATATTTAAGTAAAAAGAATTCAACCAAAGCCCAAGACTACGCACAAACAAAACGAATATGAAGTTATCTCCCTTCTTCAGGTCGTGCATCTATCATACCGAATGCTTGCGTTCAACCACCGTAAGAACGAAGAGGGAACTTCTAGTGATAATCTCGATGCTATATGTGCGTGTAAATTTTGTGATTTTTGGTTTCAGTAATAGCTAAACGTTACTAAATTCATTTATGTTAATTGTGCAAGAAGTTCCTGGTCTCATCATTTTCTTAATATGATAAGCCCTATCACTTTGATTCTTATCTAACACAGATTGGATTCCCGCTTACGTCGATGCTATAGGAGAGAAGGCACAGGAATCATACCGAAGGGCTTTATCTAATGGCAGAACCTACGACAAACGTGTCAAGATTTTGGTGGTTGGTCAAGATCGAGTTGGCAAAACGAGTCTTTGTAAATTTCTGAGGGGTGAACGGTTTGATAGGAATGAGCCCAGTACCAATGGAGTAAAAATGTTTCTTCCCGCCAAGAATGCGGGAACAGATGCCTGGCGAAACCTTGACAACACTCATGTATTTGATCACAAGGTTACTGCAGAAATGGCCAAGGAATCGCACAACGCAACGCCAAAACCTCCGGATGAAATAGAGGAAGAGGAAGAGGAACTTCTAACGAGCGCCGGTGGAAGTAAGATATTTAAACATATACGATATTTTTTTGACAACATTAAAGGTAGTCTGTAGGACTACATTCGTGTCATACATTACGTTTTCTACAGACTACTATCAACAAGTCACTTTAAAAAGCTCGTTTACCAACTTAGAACAAACGCCACTGAATTTCAGTCAGCAATTACCAGCACCGTACAAAAGACTTAAGCCTGTTTCAAAAGTCGTAACTCATTCGGATAAAATAGCTGTTATGGAAAACAAAACTAAAAAATAAAAAGCGGTTTAGTGAACTGTTAAAATGTATTCTTATGTATAAATAATTTATGAATTCAGTTCGGCTCGGCAGTAGCGCGACGTTTGAAACCAAGTCGTGCTACTGCCGTGTAGCACTGCAAACCTTGCCCGGCTACACGGCAGTAGCACGACTTGGTTTCAAACGACGAGCTACTGCCGTAATTAAGCACGGCAAAGCTTGCCAGGCTACACGGCAGTAGCACGCCTTGGTTTCAAACGTCGCGCTACTGCCGTAATTAAATAAGTCGAATTTAATTCGATCAATTTAGTTCGACACGGCAGTAGCACAACGTTTGAAAGGGGCCTTTGCGACCGCCTCAAGCAAAACTGACAACGACAGAATCACTAGATAACTGACAAGTTGACTAACAAAAAAAAAACCGTTTAAGTCGAATTAAAGTCGAATTTAATTCGATCAATTTAGTTCAACACGGCAGTAGCACGACGTTTGAAAGGGGCCTTTTTGACCGCCTCAAGCAAAACTGACAACGACAGAATGACTAGATAACTGACAATTTGACTAACAAGAAAAACCGCTTAACTGTGACAAAAAGAAGAGTCCAGACAAACCAATGACATTTAGAGTCTTCATAGCCAATATAATCACGGCTTAACTGGCAGATAACAAATTACATCACGACTTAATTGATCAAATCAAGTCAATAACCAGAAGTTTTTGGAATTTAAAAGCTTTTATTAATTTTTCACACTTAAGTAGTGACTACAAAACAAAAACACTCCAAAAGTTAACAAATTATTCAAGAGACACTACAAAACACCAATTATCCAAACAAATTTTGATGTACGCTATTTAGATTACAACCTCAAAAAAAAAAAAATACAAATTAACATAGAAACATTCACAACAACCAAGGTTAAATACCATCAACTGACGTGATACAACTCACTTTGACTCTGAAAATGATCACCGCACAGTTTTCGAAACGTCAGTCACTATCAGCAACAGTCCTAGTCCTATTCAGGACTACGTTCAACCAGACGGTCATGCTCCACCTACATATAAAATGACTCCTGGATGGGTTCAAACTTGTCGCACAAACCTAACAGCTGTATCCGCATGTGTAAAAACAGTTGCTTGTGCCACTTTTGACGTCCTAAAATTGTAAAGTAGACAGCTACGCCTAACAGAAATTAGCTTAATTCAAATGAGCACAATTCAGTCACACAATTCGGATTAAACGCAAAAAAAATGTCATTTTGACTAAAAAATATACGCGACTGACTGAAAATCTTGTCTCAGCCCCATCTCTTCTCCTTTTTTAATAATTTCATAATTTTCAGAAATTTTCCTTCTGAAATGAATTCGAGTAAATGCCCAGCAAACTAAAAAAGGAGACGGGAATAAACGGAGAAGAAGGAAAGCCAGTGGTGTAAGTTGAATTTTGCATTGGGGCATTTGCGGACTTAGAAAGCTGGTTTTTGGGGGAGCAAAGACCAGAATAAAACTCGATTTAAACCAAAAATTGAACAACAGATTTGGTTTTAAAACTATATTGCATGTTAATCACAACAGCATTTGATCATATACATATGCGAATTTGAAGGACTGTGTGATTTGGCAGTTAATGAAAGTGTGGTCTATGGAATCCTCTTTGCCGCAAACTAAGCAATCACTGTCCTATTAAATTCCAAAACGAAAGAGTTTTTTTTTGGTGAAAACTATCCTGTGTAAAAAGGTAAATTGAAATTCTCTTAGCTTATTTTCTTCAGTTGCAGATCTTTCTCGCAAGTTGAAGAATGTTTGCCATTCTTTTATTCTGTGTGACGGTGTTTTTTTTGTTTTTGTTTTTGTTTTTTCATTTCTCTGGTCCCGTTGGCAGTTATGTAGGCTTCCGTTCGTTTAAAATTCAATACAACTCCTTAGTTATAGCTTTATTTGTACCATTATCTCCACATTTTCGGCGCTTAGAGTCTCGGGCTAAGACATTTTAGAAATAATTAAAGTTTAGTGCTCGGAATTGATAAAAACGTTCAAGTCCCGGTTATAAGTAATATACTTCGATCTACTGACTTATCAGTTAAAGAAATTGCTAAAAACTAGAAAATCCGAATTTTGTGTTGTAAAATGGACATCGAGAAATGAGCTAGAGTTTTTAAGACAAGGAACAAAGGGGGAGGTCGGTCTGAATGAAGCAGCTAAAAGAGCTGTAAAGAAGACAAGGTAAAAAAGGGGGAAGGCCAGATACTGAACTTCTAAATACATGTACTCGATAGAGCAATTCACATATATTTTTTAGAAATTTCGTGCAAAAGTAAAGTTTTGATTAAACGTTCATAGCGCATGAAATAAGAGGAACGATTTTTTTGGGATACCCTGTAGATAAACGAGTTTTGAAAATAATGTCCTCCAGATTTTTGGCTTTGAACAGAAGGTAATGAGGAATGTCACTCAAAACTTAGTAAAAGTTCAGGAAGTTAGTTTTTGGGAACTCTTCATAAGTAAGAAATTGTCCATTATTCTGTAGGAGATCCTTTATTGAAAAAATTTCTTTTGCAAACTATTCTTAAACAAAGAAGGGGCTTTCATCAATTAAAATTTCTTTGTCGTTAAACAAAATTATCTCCTGTTTATCCTCCTGTTTAAGGTGAGATTTAATTTGGGCAGAAAAAGACAGTCTATCTCTATAAAAAAAGAGCTGATTTTGGGTGCAGGTACCTTGGGTCATAGTTGCATCTTTACAAAAGGTTAGGCCTCCACGTTTGTGAACAAAATGGTCAGGTATTGACCATTTTTGCTTTGGTTTTGCGTTGCTAGATTAAGAAGTCTCGGCAGCCACGTCAAACGTAATATGTGATCAAGGTTAGGCATACGAATTCCTCCCTTTCCATAATCGTGATAAAAACATTCTCTTCGACTTTGCCATTTTTGTTCTTTCAAAGGAAACTGAAGAGCTTGTTCCAGGTATCATTTATGAATTCGATCGGCACATGAAGATTTGAAGCTGAATAGACAAGTTGTGGTAGCCCGAGCGATTTTATTATAAGAACCTTTCCAAATATAGTTAAATTTCTTGATGTCGTTAGATTTAGATTGGTCTGTAATTTTTGTATCTTGGTCGCAAGGTATGGCTATTGTTCTGTTTTTCATCATAAGAAAAGTAAATTCCCAAGATTTTGACAGAATTGCGTGTCCACGTTAACTGCAACGGTGTGGAGCGATTCTTGGACCACTTCCTAACCACACTCATGCTTTTGTTTGTTTGTTCGTTTGTTTTTTTTTTTTGGTTTTTTTTACATCAAGCTGCAAACCTAAAATGCCTCCAAAATTCTTTATGGTAACAAATGCATTTTCCACAAAACTATTATCAACCCCAAATATATTAGTTTCATCCACAAATTGGCTAATGTTAAGTTCATTTCCAAATAAATTGATTCCTTTAACAAGGTTGTTTTGACGAATTTTAGCAGCTAAAATTTCAGAAGAAAGAGGTGTGGGGAGAGTGAATAAATTGGTTTTAAAAATGGAATAAGTCTAAGTTAAAGTCACTAGAACTGTAACATATTTTCCTATTTCTAGTTAGATTTAGATAAAAGTTCATCGAGACTGTGACATTAGCAGCTCACTAAAAAATGAAAATCACTGTTGTCTTTTTTGCAGCAGTGAAATATGTCAAAGAACGAGATCATTCAGAGATTACAGATACCATGTCTGAAGACGTTGAAAGACTCTATAAAAAACGGCTAACCGAGGGCCGGAATTTACCAGAAGACACAGTATGGCCGGTCATTTGGGATTTCGCAGGTCAAGATATCTATCACGCTATTCATCCCATTTTCATGTCTCCAGACGATATTTATCTGCTTGCCTTTGACCTAACTAAAGAACTCCATGACCAAGCAGTTTGCCAAGTGAATATGCATGGTCATAAGGAGGAAACTGTTGAACAGCGTAACACTAAGGACACAAATCTTGATCACGTGATGAGGTGGATGAACCTGATACACGCATTAAAGAACTCTAATGGCAATAAAAGGTCACCTTCTGATGACTTGCTTCCTCCCTCGCTTCCCCCTGTTTTTCTCGTGGGTACTCGCGCTGATCTTGTAGATCCAAGTAAAAGTAACGAATTTAAACAGAAATTCATAGGAGTGATGAACTCATTGTATGACCACGTTGTTGACGTTCTGGCTATTGACAACACAAAATCTGGCGAACAAGAGGGCCAAGAGAAAATTCTTGCTCTAAGGGAAAAGTTACTGAAAGTAGCCGAAAATATGCCCCACATCAAGGACCCGATACCTTTGCAGTGGCATCGTGTAGAAAAAGAACTTAGCCAGACTGTCTGGCAAGAAAAGAAGTATATCAAAAAGGAAACCTTCCGACAAATTGCCTCGCCGTTCTGTATCTTTCAAAACGAAGACGACGTTGACGCACTTTTATATTTCCTGCATGCCCGTGGCTCTGTAGTTTACGAAGGTGGTATTGTCTTCCTAGACCCTCCATGGTTAATCAGTTTGCTTACAAAGATTATCAGCGTTAACCCTTTGGGTGAGGAGGCATCGGCCTACTCGCGTTATCGCAAAAACCTTCAAGAAAAGGGGATTCTTGACAGGGAATTGCTTGATTTTGGTTTCAGAAAACTGGAACTAGGGGATCTTAAAGACACCTTCATTTCCTTAATGGAAAAGTTCAATTTAATTTGCAAGTGGCCATCAGGAGACCCCAACGAGCCGCTAATCCTTGTCCCGTGCATGCTTACATCAAAAGACGAAGAGGAAAATAGCGGAGACGAGATGACAAGTGCCTGCTGTGCTCCATTGTACCTCACTTTTGAGGGAAGGAATTATGTACCAGTTGGGCTGTTTTGTCGACTTGTTGTGCTTTTTGGAAAACAGCTCTCAGTGAACCCTAAAGAGGAGCATACATACAGCCTGGACGCCGGTGAAGCCCAGTTTAGTCTTAAAGGGGACCATTTCATTAGTTTAGTGTGCTACAAGAGGGTGATTGAGTTGTGCATTTCGACGGTTGACGACGTATCTCCACCAAAACACTGTGCAGACGTTCTGAGGTAGGTTACAAGCCAGATAACTAACTGCGTTCCTTGTCATCACGTTTAGGAAATACAGTAAGCACCCACTAATAAGAAACTGTGGTTTAAGAACCTGCCCACAAATTTAAGAACTTGTTAGCAAGCAGGTTCTTACATGTGGGTTACAGTTAAATTAAGATAAACATTTTAACCAAGGAGTTTGGCTTCGAGATTGCCAGGTTTTTGAAAAGTACAGATTGGAATTTCTTGATGCACCTTGCATGAAAAAGGTTTGCCATGTACAGCAGGCGAGGATCCACACCGGTTTCCACCGTTTTACGGAAATCGGTCAGATCTGGAAATTGGTTTGGACAGTCAGCAATAATCCTGTGTGAAAGACTCAGAAACCCAAGAAAGGGGACTTTGGGAAGTTAAAATTTAAAACATTTCCCGAGGAAGCATGCCCCAGAACTCCCCTAGGAGCTTGCACTTTCGGCGCTCGTTTGGACTCGCGCCTGTACTGTTGCAAATAAATTCTGCATATCATCAAGGACCGAACTCAAGTTTCTTTATCGTCAATAAGAGCAATTAGAGAACCTACTTGGCCTAAATTGCCAATAATTACCCCCAAAATAAAGAAGGACCTTGTTGCCAGACAACAATAGCGTTTTAAAATAGGAATGATTTTTGATCATGCTCGACTGGACACTGAATATGTACTTTCAAAACGAAGGTTTTGTCAACTGGGCACACAACTGGAAACGTTACAGTTCATCGGATTTTGTAAGCCCGTGGGGAAGTCATAATGAGCGTAAAAGTTCTCATCTCATTATCAGTTAGAAACTTTTGCCCATAACTTGATTTGCCAGCTTTACAGCGATGTTTGATCTGTCCGTAGTTAAGCGGTAATGCTTTTGGATGTAACTGGCGTACTTTTCAATCGTCCCTCCAACCCTCTGTTTTTGGTAATATTTTTTTCGTGTGTTTTAGTCCAATTTGTTCGATTTATTGTTTGTATCAGTAGTCATTTACATTCTTTTTTCTATAAAAAAAGCAGCTGTGCTAAAATTATGAAATTGAGAGAGTCCAGCCCCAGTAAGGGCGTATTTTGAGTCGTTCGATTGTTCCTTTAACTTCACCAGGCCATCTTAATGAGGAGCCTACACTGAGACCTTGAATGACAGTATTCTTTGAGCGAATCTATAAGGCCCTCCCACAGTTAAAATGTATCCTAAGAACTGCCTTAAAACAATACTCCTGCTTTATCTTTACTTACCTTTTTTTTTCTTTTTTGCTTAGCCTTGTGAAGGAATCCATGAAGACTCTTCAAAATGAGTGTCACTGGCTGAGGTCGATGTCATGGAAGATCTGTGTTCGATGCACAATTTGCTTGGAAAACAACACCGAGTGCTGCCAATTACACAACAAGAATAATTGCCAGCACCACGATTGCAGCCACTTCATACCTTTTAACCCAGACTTTCTTCGCTGTAAAGTCAGACGCCCTCTACCGCGAGATGCAATCCAACGACTTCAACCATGGATTGATGTAAGTTTGGGTTCTTGAAGATTGTTCACTTTTTGTTTTAAATGCTAAATAATATGTTTGAAAATTCTCATTTTACACGTAGCCATCTAAAATTGTAGGTGCCTGAACATTTTGGTCGACGTTTAACCTCCAGTCGGTGTCGCTTACTTCTTAGTGCTTGTTCCTATCACACAGTGGGCCGTGTCTTACTTAGTTCGATCAACATTTTTTTTACAATCATCACGTTTGTATAGTTCTGCCATTAGAAGGAATTATAGATTAAAATATGGCACTTCCTGTTGAACTTCAGTGCAACACTGACACTGGAAAGAAGACAGTAAGTGCTTGGTAGTCTCTTCTTGACTCGCAAGGTAAACAGGGCCCAAATCTCCTGTATATTTTCGGAGGGTCCCAAAAGGTTTTTCGGGATCCGGAATTTTGCTTATTTAAACTCTGCTATTTGGGATTTGGGATTGTTGTTCTGAGCGGGATAAGGAGAGCATAGAAACAGGAGATTACTTTTTCTTCAAATATTGTAGATGCGTGTTGAGTGTAAAATACTGGAGGTTTCCTATGTAAGCCGCTGCTGTGCTGGCAGTCGGACTCCATTATGATTCCACTTGTTATATACGAAGCGTATCTAGTCCACTGGTGAATCATCCTTAGGTCAGAGGTGGCGAATTCAGATCTTGAAGTAAGTGAGGGCTCAACATAGTTTTGAGATTTGAGGGTTGCCTGACCTAGAAACTAACCTTCTCTCTTTTTTGGCTTATCCGTCACTGGTCAGTTCATGTAAAAGCGCACGCTACACAGGCTATTCACGTTGTTGCTAGAGCAAGCGCCGACCGAGCAGCTGGAACGGGCGAATGCCCTCGTAGGCAGCCCTTTTTCTCGATCCATATCCATAAATATCTCTATATGATTTTTTACAAGCCTGCTCATCCTTCATGTTCTCCAGGCATTACAGGAAAAACCTGAAACGACGCGAAGTTGTGGTGAGTTCCCTATCATTATTATTAGTAGTAGTAGTAATAGTTGACACTACAGCTGCCCCTGCTCTGTATATTGTCGGTCAATAGTATTCTCGCTCGTGGTGTAGCTCTTTGAAATATACCGCAGTTCATAAGGAAGATTTTCACACATATTCCATACAATAGGTGAGATAAATGCAGGAAACACAAGGCTCCATGCACATTTTCAGTTCGATTTACACAGCTTTGATCAAAACATTCTCAATTTCGAGAATAGCTTATTCTAAACCATAAGAAAGATTTAATTAGAAGTTGAATTTTTCGCTATTTCTCTTTCACTTTTCACATTCAGTTCATTTTATTGCCGGAAAGTAGGCCTTAGAAATTAAAAGGACGTTTGACCAATTCACGCTCGCACATTCTAGTCTTGTTTTAAACTTTATAGCGGAAGGACATCTGGGAGAAGGGAATAAGTCAGCTCAGAATTTGATTGTCGGCGAATTTCTGTAATCGTCCATCGTTCTTCGAGTGATACGCTAGCCGTTGTTCACTCGTCTTGCTTGTTTGGGGCTGAGTCTTATTCCTGTCAAAGAGAGAGAAAGAGTGTCTGGCAAGGTTTCCAATCAAAGATTTGTGAACTCGTGTCTGGCAAACTCTCCAAGTGTTTGTAAATATACACTGTTATACGCACGTTATAACTTCATCTGCACTTAACGAGTGTCTTTTGGTCCATAACTTTCAAAACAACTGCTCCACAGAATCTTTCTGATAATACGTAACGCAAAAGAGTATCGAGGTATGACTGCGCAATAAATGTCACAAAATCTACCCAAGCGTTCTCTTCTAGCCTGCGAAAACAGACTTTTCTCCTCGCTCATCGCCGCTGGTGGACGTTTCTGCGAGGAGAGAGGAGAAACGGCTGTTTTTGCGGGCTAGGTCTCTTCGGGATTTTCTGTCTTTACGTCATCCTAACCATTTCGTACTTGCGGGCGCAAACAATAGAAACGTCATTATCTACCGATTCCTCGCGGCTCCTGTTCAAGCGAATCAAGATTTTTTTCTGGCATACTGACTGTATATTTCAACTGTAACTACTTTCCTTAATATACGCGCGAGTTACTAGAGTGCCTCCTCGAGATTTCGCCTTCTGGGCGAAATCCCTGCGGGGGCAATTATTATTGATAACAATGCTAACTGTTAAAATCCTATTTACTATTAATCGCTTAAAAAAAGAACTATTTCGTCAAAACACTATTTCCAATTCTTTTCGTTAAAAAAAATTAAAAACATTTCATTTCAATTAAAAAAATCCATTTCGATTTTTAAAAAAGAAAAAAACAATCTATTTTCAAGGTCGATTGCATTCTTAATAAGAAAATCACTAAAAAAAGAGGAAAATTAAATAGCGTTCGCAATGCGTTATTGACGAATTTTGCCATTTAAAAGTAAGGAAACACATCAATAGTCCAATTGAATGGCTCTTTCAGCAACGTCGATATCAACATTCTTAATGTCACATGGCACTTTCCTGTCCTAGAGCCTCTAAGACAAACCAATGCAGATCTCAAGAGTGAGAATGAGGTTCTGGTTCTGATCCATGAGATGGTTTTGGCATACTGCTCCCCTTTCTTGATGGCAATCAGCTGTGCTAAACGGCTATGATACATCAAGCACTCCTTTCCCTTTGCGCCAGTTGTTGTGAAGACCAAAGGTGTAAATGTTCCATGCTCTATGTCCAGAACTCTCCTTCAGTAGAGACTCTTTTTCTCGTTCTCTTGGATACGATAAATTTGTTGTGTTTGTAGGTCCCTATACGATGCAGCATTAGGGTGACAGACCCTCACATCGAAGAATGCTAATCGATGTCGTTCCCAGAAACCACGCATGGATATCTAACCTCGCATCCTGAGCTTTGATAGATCCTCTGTTTAAATGTTCGCCGGAAATGTCTTGAATTACTGGCTCGTTCTCGACATTGCTACACACCATTCTCAGAAATTCAGTTTCGAAATCTTTCAGCTTGTTGTGACGTTGAGTAATAAAACCCCCTAGTTTGCAAATCATACAGTGATCAACCGTAAAGGCTTCGCCACAAGCACATGTGGAGGGGATATCTTCCACTGGCCAGTCGTAGCGTAGTTCAACAGCATCACGGAACTCCCACTTATTCAGGTTAAAGCCCAAATCCTGGAGGGGAAGCACTGTAAGCCATGCTGATGATCCCTTTTCTGTCGCCAGATCTAATGCTCGCTGAGTCTTTCTTGGTGCCATCTCCTTAGTACGCTCTGCCCTGTGTTCGAGTTTCTTTAATGATGTGAAGTATATGAAATAATTCATATTTGAACTGCGGTTGTAGATGAAAGTGAAGAATGATCATCGCAGTGAATTTTCCAATTTAAGCAATTGGAAAGAAGAAGCCTGGAAAAAAAAAATCAGGGCTTCAACGGGATTCGAACCCGTGACCGTGATCGCCTTGTGTTGTTCCTTCTGCTGACACGATCTCTTTCCCGCCAATGACAAATAGCCGAGCTGGCTGTCCGTAGG